CGATCCCAGGACCCTGGGATCATGACCTGAGCTGAAGGCAGATGCTTAGCAACTGAGCCACCCAGGCGCCCCCCTTTTTCTCTGTTTTCTGTAACTCATGACAGTTTAGTAGATTATACTTTTGTAAAAAGAAATGAAATGTTCATATTTATGTTTTTTCCCTACCTGATTTCTCCAGAGTTCAGAAACTCTATTGAGTATTCTTATTTTCATGACAATAAAATTATTTGTGTAAGTTCAATAAGAATCTGTCTTCCTTGTAATAGGACATAATTGGAAAAATTGATTATATAGGCTTTGACTAGAATGTCATATTTGAGAATGATGCATAGAATAAGATAATCAGATAGTTTCAGGGAACTAAGTTTGACTCTTTAGAGCCAATGCTTACAACCTCCTTTTGGAAAAACCGGCCTTCTACCTGGTATACAGCGTTCCCAACCTTACAGATGAATAAAGAAGGTCACTTCCTGGCAAGCCCAGGAACTTTAGGCTATTTTGGCAACCTTGAGAAGAGAGGAATTCACTCAAATCTATAGGAATTACAGGCTAAATCTGGTGGTGAGTTCTAGGTTTGGTTGCTTAGGCTCAAGAGGCTTTTAAAAGTCTAATCTGAGATTCTCTACAAAAAGTTCCAGCAAACCAAACTTGAAAGTCCCAAGTGGTCAATTAACATTCTTGCTGTACTTATATAAATAATTAGGCCAAATCTAATGAGACCAGACTTATTTTGTAAACAAGATTAAAAAGGGGGGTAACTGTAGAGAGACAAATTTTATACTTCATTGGAAAACTGTTGTGCATCCTCGTTTGTGGGTTATTAAATTCTAGTCCTGTTCATTGTCTTGCACATTTTGTCAGTTCCTCTGGTTTCCTCCTCCAATGTCTGGCTACAACTCTCCAAAATGTTTCCAGTTTTTCTCTCCACTACCTGATTTGGCATCATTGAGACCTAAAATTGCCCTTCTCCTGAAGCCCTGCAAGCTGAAGCTGTATGATTTGGTACAAACTTCAAAGAAATCCCCTCAATGGATCATGTATGGTCACCCTTCATGTCTGCTGCTATGTGGGCCATTCAGAAAGCTCAGTGGAACAGCTGATGCCATCACCAAGGATGTTCAAACCACAAAAGATGCTTTGAGCCCATCTTCTAGAAATCTTCTCAACTGCCCTATAGACTCAAAAACTAGTTTTCTCATCTGCTTCAACCACTAATCTTTGTTTTTTTTTCTTTTTATAGAAATTCCCCTCATTAAATGTTTGACTGCTCATACTACCTAGCAAATATCCTTCACTACCAAGTCTCAACTAATGTTTCAGCTGGTCCTTAATGAACAGAAGGCAACCTAGTGAGAAACGGACTTCCATTGTTCAAAGAAAGAAGAACATGTCTTCTTTCCTTGAATAAGAGGAAGGACTGACAAAGTCTTTCTCCTTAACCAAATTTTAGTCAGATTCCACTAAGCTTTATTCCTGATTAGGACAGATCTTTGCTAGATCTACATCGTCCAGTTTTAGTAAGATTTCTACTAAATCAGTTTAGAGAGAATTCCCACCCTCAGTATTGATCAAATTCCACATCCCCTCCCACACCCAGGTGATGTCTGATCACCCTAGCCTGCCTTTAGCAAGAATCCTAAGTCTGTTCAATCAATCTCCCCCTGCCTCCAATTTTTCTTCTTAGTAATTTTCCTTCCATTGATTCCCATTCTGCTCCGTGGTTATAAATCCCTATTTGTCTTTGCTATATTGGGAATTGAGCCTGATTCTATACTGAGATCTCTTTTCCCCAATTGCAGTAGTTCCAGAATAAAATCTGTTTTTACCACTTTAACTACTATCTAGCTCTTTTGTTGTTGTTGTTGTTTGTTTGTTTTAAAATATAAATAGTATGCAGTCTAGAAGAACAATTACTATCATATGTGCAACTGACAAGTATTTCAACTTGCAGTTGAATAAAGCCAATTATGTGCAAAATGTGAATTAGTGCTTTGTGTATGTACATTTAGGATGTCCATGAGAGAGCAATGCTTGACAATTTTCTATCTTATTTATTACTAAAAACCCAGGATATAGGAAAAGATACATTGGGAGTGCTGATCAAACACACTTGTATGAAAAGGAAGGCAGTGCACTGCCATTCAAATAAAAGAAATAGCCTCTGGTGGTAATTTACATTGTTGTATTTACAGAGAGTAGGTATTCGTCCAAGTATGCTGTTTGGTTTTGGTTTATTGCTGAAGGAAATACTGATAATTATTAATACTCTCAAATTATAGGGTTTAAGTACATTTATGCCTTTTTTTAAAAAGATTTTGTTTATTCATTTGTGCCTTTTTGATATACCATCTGAGAAATTGTGCAGCAAGTGTAAGTCTGGCTATGAGGAAAAAGGAGTCTCACATGAATTTTTAAAATGAGAGAGAAAGAGATAAAAATATTTCTTCAATGATGCTGATTCTAATAAGACCATTTTGAGTAACTTATTTGAATGATGTGTCACAGCAGTATATTTATTCAGTATGTTGAATTTCCTTGAACTTTTAGTTCAGGCTCAAAAGACCCCATTTTTTAAAAATTTGCAGGTGAGAGATTAGAATTTGTTTGTGTTATAAATGGCTTAAACTTTGAGTCTTTCCAATACCATTCTTTGATAATTTCTTTACATTTGGAGAAAGAAATGCATGATTTATTGTCACATATGTTAAAAAGTCACATTACTACAAATACAATATTACATACGTAATGCTTCATGAGGAAATGAAGAAGTACTTTTTAGAACTAAATGCAACTTAAGGAAGAATGTGAAATCTATCTAACTTTGTATCCCAAGTTGGAAAGTCAAACTTTATGTATTCATTTGTGATAAGCTTATCAATTTAATGCCTGATGGAGTTCTGAAACTCCTCACTGAGAAGTCTTTATAATTTCTAGATTTAAAAATAGTCCAGATATCCAGATTTTTTTGACAAAAGCAACAAATATTTATTGTCATTTAACAATCTTTAATTGGGAATCAGGACTTTCTAATTTGGTAAAAGTAGTAAGGATAGACAGTGGATATGGAACTCAAGGTCTTCTGGCTCAAAATCTTTGTCATTAGGCCAGGCATTGACAGCTTGGTTAGAGCATAAATAAAATCTGGTCTCTTTCACTGATGGGAATAATAATAATGATAATGATAATAGTAATAATACACGTAATGATACATTTTTCAAAATAATATCATTTGAAAATATTTCTTAACTACTGTGGTATTCTGAATATAGATGCTGAAATAGTTTGCCACCTTTGTAAAATATTTGTTAAAAAAAATGGTAGTGTTTGTTGAGAGCTTACTATGGAGCAAACATTATTCTAAGGGTAATGAACTCATGTTAACTGTGAAGGAGCCAGTAGTTTACAGACTGAGGCATGGAGAAAATAAATAACTTTTCAAATGTCACCCAGTTGTTAACTGGCAGACCAAGATTTGAACATGGTCAGTCTGATAGCACAGTCTGTGCTCTTTGCCATTGCCTGACAAAGGCAGACAGTACTAGTACTGTAAGAGCCCTTGAGGTGGTTTTTTATTTTGAGGTCTCTGAACATCTTTCTCTACTCTCTTAGCATACAATTTTCCCACATTATTCTCCACTTCCTTATTATTATTACTGCTACTACTGCCAACACCAATGAGCAATTTGATTAGACTCCTTTAAGGAGACAGGTGATTACAAAGAAGGGAATGCTTTGGAGGCAGAAAGAGGAAAGATCACTTTCGTGGCCACAAATCATATCCATGGTCTTGGCCAATTTTTTTCTGTAGCTGTTGGGGCCCAAAGACAATTTCAGTGCCTTGTGACCGATCACCTCCCATCTCCCAGATACTTCAAAATTACATGCTCATTTAAGAGTGTCTTAGTGAATTAATAGCATTATCTTCCCCCTTGAAAGATTTGCACAGATCATAAATACTTTAAAAAGTTTAAGTTGATAAATCAACTCTCCTAGAGGTATATTAAAAAGCTTTTTTTATTAAGCTTTTTATGTATAGTAATATAATGTTTTAAAACATTGATTTGTACAGCTTTCTTTAATGTCTTAACATTACTACTTGTTAAAAATGAATGAAACTCAAATTATAGTATTGCCATGAAACACTGGAAAATGAGTTGTAGAATGTAATGTTTTGGCTTGTTTTTGATATATAAGCTTGCTGGCTGTTGTGTGCAGGGCAGAGCTTTGTCTCTTTTAAATCTAGCAGCGCTCTCTAGAGTGCAAGGTTAATACAATTTGATAAAAAAAGCAGTTTCACCCATTAAAATACTTTTTTTTTTAAGATTTTTATTTATTTGACAGAGAGAGAAAGAGAGAGAGAGCACAGCAGGGGAAGCAGGAGGCAGAGAGAAGGGAGAAGCAGACTCCCCACTGAACGGGGAGCCCCATGTGGTGCTTGATTCCAGGACCCTGGGGTCATGACCTGAGCCTAAGGCAGACACTTAATGGACTGAGACACCCAGGTGCCGCACCCATTCAAATATTCTTGATCCGTCCCATTTTGAGGGACATTTATTCCTTAGAAGTAGCAAAGAGCCAAACCTACATGTTTTTGCTCTGAGTGAATATGCTTTTCAAGGATGACTTTAGGTAACTAGAATGAAATGAAATAAGCTTGTTCACCGTGAAAATTTAGTTTGTCTTGGTGGTTGTACATCTTTTTCGTACCTTCTTATGAAACTAGTGGTACATAATTTTACTTTAAATTTCATATTTTCATAATAATAATAAACATTGAATTTTTTGTTGACCAATATAATGTGTCTAAATTTATATGTGATACTGCATTTGTATTGAGGAATACATAATAAATAGAGAATAAACCACAGCTCTCGTACTTATATTTATTTCTACTTGTCTAGTATATTAGATTGTGACCCATATTGGCTCTTGTATCAAAATTGTCTTTATTAAAGAAATTAAAACTATTACTATTGATATATATTCCTTTCTTATTACAGAAGAAAATACTCAGGAAACATCACAGGTGAAGAAAAGTTTGAGTGAAAAAGTTTCTCTCTATAGAGGTGACATCACATTGCTAGAGGTAGATGCTATAGTCAATGCGGGTGAGTACTTGATTTTTTTTTTGTGATGTATTTGTTATATGAGTATTATTTTAAAATATTTCTCATAAACAGGAATATAAGTATTTTAGAAAAAGATGTCCTTCCTAGTATAGAAATACCTTATGTACTTCCCTTCTGGATTAAAAACACTGAGGATTTATTTATTTATTTATTTATTTATTTATTTATTTATTTATTATTTTAAAACACTGAGGATTTATTTTATGTGTGTGTTGCAGTTAATTTGCTAACTCATGGTATCCATGCTAAATTGAGATTAGGGTACTAGCCCACTCAAAAAGTGATAAATTGATCCAGAAGATTCTTCAGAAAGAACTTTAGAAGCTCTATTGTTGGTTTCATGCTTGAGTTAATAATTGGCCAACATAAAAACAAATTCATCAAGGTTTTTCTTTCTTTTGAAGAGGTGGTAAAGAGATGATTTGAACACCAGAAAAAAGTAAAATAGAAGGTAATTATTTCTGCGATTTCCAAATCATAGTTGTTTGGTTATTACTTTTCATTTTTGATATGAAATGCTTTAATTATTTTAATAACCAATTAAGTAATTTTTATGTTTGAACATTGGGGAAATTAGCAGTGTTATTTATGGTAGTATCTCCTATATATTTTATTATGTGGCTGTATATCAAGAAATACATAGTGGTTGTGAGTCTATAAAAATAAATGTCAATAATAAGAGGATATTTATTGATTTTAATTTGTGTTTTATAAAGGTAAGCTGTTTTTTAGGTTGAAAATGCCAAATAATAACAAATTTGGACTTAGGTAAAGAGAGGCTTTTTTCAAAAAGATTATTACAGTAAGGAGAAGAGTATTGTCCTAATAGGCAGAGGAAGAATATTGCAATAGAGAGAATATTGCAATAGGAAAAACCACTTCTACCATGAGATCTATAAGCATTTCAAAGGCAAAGCAGAAAGGGTCTTTTCTTTCATTAGAAGGAGTAAACAGGGTAAAAAGAATTGAGGTCATCTGATTCTTGGAGGGGGTCATTCTAGAGGAGTTGTTCACCTTCCATTGCTCAGGGGTGGGTCAAAGTCTAGGGACTTGGAAGAGGGAAAAAAGCCTGACTAAAGTTTGGTCAACTCCAGTTAATAGCCATTGACCAGCCAGAATGGTCAATGGGGATAAACATTTCAGCTAATCCTTTATGAATGAAAGAATGGGAATTTGGAGGATCTGTGTCTTGGTCTTGTCATAGGTTACAAGAGGTCATCCACAAATTTTATCTAAGTCATATGGGGAAGAGTAGTTCTTTGCTGTAAGCTGTTTACTGGAACACAAAAGTGTGAGGGGTAATTTTTTGGCTGTCCCTGTTTTCCAGAAGTACAGGATTCATGTAAAGTTCAACATTGTCTCAAGGTTCCCTTTGGTGATGAAAAAATTCACACACATGCCTTTGTGGGTGAACAGAAGGGTCTCCTGGAGAACTGGAACATTAATATAGCATAGTTTTGGTGATCCTGTAGGAAATCTGGAAGCTTAGTCAGCTTGTTAATTTCCGTAGAATTGGCTATTGGTTGCTTTGTACTGTATTTGCTTTGCCATACTCAGAGCTGTTTTTCTCTTTCTCTTCTTCTGATGCCTCTGTAATTGCTTTCTCCTCTGTTGCCTCTCTAAAATGCAAAACTCTTCATGAGAGGGGATCTGTCTTGGTCATTTAATCTCCACCCAATCTGAATCACTTCTTTTGGATAAAATTCCATCCTCATATCACCTCATAAGCTATAAGTCTCTTTCCCTTATAGCTAGTCTCTGTGAACTGTTGATTTGTGGCCCTGGGTATCAAGATGCATTTCTCTGATCTGTGGGACCTCGGGAGGAGACATGCACTTAGAAAGAATCTCATGAACTCTTCTCCAGTACAGTGGTTTAATAAGATCACTGTAGTTACTAAGTCATTAATGGTTTGTTATGCCCTATATTCTATAAACATGTGAGCTTTAATTAAAAAAAATTAAAAGCTTTTATGTATATATAACACCAGCCTTCCTGTATATTCTTGTAATTTCTAGCCGTTGATCCAATTCTGCTCCGTGGAATATAATTAATGACATGTATTTCCTTCTTAAATACCTGAAGATCACTCTCTTGAGGTTTCTCTTTCTTATTAATAATAGTAACATTGAATTTGCCAGATTAGCACACTTAATAATAGCAGTAATTATCGTTTTTCTTGGGTTTTGCTAACTGTATACCTGTGTATCTCCCCCTTAAGGCTACAGACTGGTGTCTTTTCCGTCTTTTGTGTCACCTTCCAAAGCAATGTCATGCCATTATGTTTTTAATAAACACTTGATACTGTATATGTGTTAGATTGAACTATATGCAACTGAACCATATGCTCCAAAGCACCTCTGACCAATAGCACATTCGGCATTGAGGACTTGATACAGTGAATCAATGTGGCTCTGATTTTAAAAAATGATTTGATCAATAAATAAAATAGTTATAGGACTAAACAGGAAAACATCACTAGTGGGAAAACATCCCATCACTAGTTTGATTCTTGTCCTTGCCCATACGTGTAACAGCTGCCCCATAGTGTACAAGGGTTTGATGAATTAATATGAAGGCTGGCAGCAACTTTCACTCGCTCCCAAAAACCATTTGGCACCTTTAGTCATGTCTCTGGCTGAGATTATATTATAATTTGGACATGTTCTACATCTCACAAGGACAACCTCATCAGGAAGTTCCTGTGTATATGGAAGAAAGATGCCAAATGTACAGTGTAATGACTCTACTTACAGCTTTCTGCTGTGCAGTTTGTTTGCCTGGTGTGTAAGGAGAGGAACAGTTGTTAATCTTTCAAGTGAACAAGGCGACATGGCAGGAGACTCCAGAGCTGCCTCTAGTGAGAGGGGAATGGGAGGCAGTGTCTCCAGTCATGGTGCCAGAGCAGCCCGGACATCATTTTCTATCAAACTTCTAAAGTTCTCTTTCCATGCCCATGTTAATATTAGTACATTGGAACACCTGGGCTTACATGCCATAAACAAATTGATATTTAAACTTTTTCCTAATAAAGTACTTTTTGGACTTGCTTGGATTTCTTTAAATGTGACCCAGGATGAGCCTCCTATGTAATTTTTATTCTTCTCCATAGGAAATAATACATATTTGGTATATTTTAATAAAACAGATTTTTAGGCAGTAGGGTATATAGGGCAGTAGCACAAGTTGTAGAGTCAGGCTGACCCAAATTCAAATTCAGGTTCTCACACCCAGGACCATTTTTTCTTTAAACTTTTTATGTTGAAATAATAATAGGAAATTGCAAAGATAGTACAAAGAGTCCTATGTACCTTTCACCTTCTCCTGTGTAAGCCTTCCCCAGTGGTGACATTATTTAGCTGTAGTACAATATCAAAACCAGGAAATTGACGTGGGTATATTATTATGAATTAGACTGTAGACCTTATTCAGTTTTTACCATTTTTTAATCTGCATTTGTGTGTGTTTGTGTCTATAGTTCTCTGCAGTTTTATCTCATGTACAGATTCATGGTTATCACCATAATCAAGATACAGAACTGTTCGATTATCCTGAAAAGAGCTCCCTTGTAGTGGCACCCGCCTCTTTGCTCTCCTCTCCTTGTACCCTCCCCATTCTTCATCTCTATAGTTTTGACATTTTTAAGAATGTTATATCAGTGGAATCATACAGAAGGTAACCTTTTGAGATTGATGTTTTTCACTAAACATAAAGCCCTTGAGGGCCATTCAGATTGTTGCATGTATCAGTGGTTCATTCCTTTTTATTGCTGAGTAGTAGTCCCTTGCAAGGATATACCAAAGTTTGTCCAACCATCCACCCACTGAAGGACCTCTGGGTTCTCAGTATTTTGCCATAACCAGTAGAGCTGCTATAAAAATTCATATACTGGTTTTTGTATGTAGCAGTATATAGGATGATCTGTTTACTGTGACTAGGTCCTTGTATAATTTTGTATTAAGGCTGTTGGTCAAAGCATTTTGGTTTTTCCTAGAGCATGGGGGAGAATACATTCATCTAATTTATGGTTCAGTACTGTATCACTAGAGACAATTTTACTTGTACCATAATCAGAGAAAAATATTTTGTTGGCGATATAATTGTTACTCATTTGTGGATTGTGGGCTATATAATGAAAAAATTGGTTAACTCTCCAATTCTGATGGACTGTCTTTGGCTAAAGATTAATTCAGTTTGCCCTAAATAAGGTTTTTTAAAGTGGAAAATGTGGAAGGTTGATTTGTTTATTTTAGTTCTTCCTGTCTCTACCCCAGCATGTGAAGGAGAGGTACATTTACATTGTTGTTAATCATGGAGGGGTTGGAGTCAGATCAATCATTATTTTAAATGTGTCTCTTCAGCTTGCTGACCAAATGACCTTCAGTAAATTATTTAACCTTTTGAGCCTTAATTTGTTCATTGGTAAAATGGGGATAATAATAGGGCCTGCTTCTCAGGGCTGTTGTGAAAAGCAAAAGAGATAATGTATACAAAGCACTTCACATAGTAGTGCCTAGTATATAGACACACTCAGTAAATGGTAGCAGAATTATACTGCTTAGGAGGCGGAGCAAGATGGTGGAGGAGTAGGAGACCTGGATTTCATCTGGCCTCAGGAATTCAGCTGAATAGAGATCAAACCATTCTGAACAACCATTCTGAACACCTATGAACTCAACAGGAGACCAAAGAAAAGAATAGCAACAACTCTCTGAACAGAAAAGCGAGCACTTTCTGGAAGGTAGGATGTGCAGAGAAGTGAATCTGAGGTGATATTCGGGAGGATAGACAGCGGAGGAGGGGGCCTCTGTTGGCCACTCCTGGCAAGTGATGATAGAAACTCTTGCTCACAGGCTGGGTGAGCACAGAGTGCAGCCGGGGGAGATGGGAGTGACTGACTGCTTTTCTCTGGGGGCGCACTGAGGAGCGGGGCCCCGAGTTCTCGGCTCCTCTGGGGCAGAGATTGGGAGGCCGCCATCATCACTCTCGTCCTCCAAAGCTGTACGGAAAGCTTGCAGGGAACAAAACTCCTGAGAGCAAACCTGAGCAGATTATTTAGCCCGGACCGACAAGGGCGGGGCAATTCTGCCTCCAGCAAAGACATTTGGAAACCATGGCAACAGGCCCCTCCCCCAGAAGATCAGCAGGAACAGCCAGCCAAGATCAAGTTTACCGATCAATGAGAACAGGAGAACTCCAGTGTGAGGGGAATACTGCACATAGAATTCATGGCTTTTTTACCATGATTCATTAGTCTTTCAAAGTTAATTTTTTTTAACTTTTTTTCTTTTTTTGAATTTTTCTTTTTCCCTTTTTCAACCAACACCTTATCAATCCCTTTTTTAAAAAAAAAATTATTTTTCATTTTTAGAGTCA